TGTGTGTGTGTGTGTGTGTGTGTGTGTGTTTGTGTGTGATGCTGAAAATGTGTGTCCATACATTATTCACACTCTTCAAGCCGCCCACATCTGTTCATTTCTCCGGACGACACACACACTCCTCTGTTAGACAATAATTACTATGCTGCCAAGAACACACACACACACACACACACACACACACACACACAGACACACACACATTCTCCCAAAGAGCTCTGGCACCTATATCAACCTCTAACAATGAATCCACATGGGATGTTGTGCGTTAGAAGCACTGTTTGTCATCCAGCAGCCCTACCCCTCGCACACAAATCATAATCACATGTTTGGCTGCACTGAAAGTCTCAGATCCATGCCCCTCTGCGCACACACACAAATCATAATGACACGTATGGCTGCATACACAGAACACACCCTCACAAGGTTCCATGAGCGTAATGTCACGGCTCTCTGACGGCACATAAAAGGCTCATTGCCCCTCTATTCACAGGATACACACACAAAAGAGTTGTGTGTGTGTGAGTATGTTTGAACTGGTCTCATTTCTTCTACATGGGTTTACATGTGCATCAGTGAAAAAAGGATGAGTGTATGATGTTTTTTTTTTTGCATCATTTCTCTATCTTTATTTGCTCACATGGTGTGTTCCTCTGTTTCTGTCTGTGTGTGTGTGTATGTGTGTGTGTGTGTGGAAGAGAGAGAGTGGTGTAGACAGAAGGAGGGAGTCTTTTCTGTGGTGTCAGCCTTTGATCAGTGTCCCTGTGTGTGTGTGTGTGTGTGTGTGCGTGTATATATAGCTGTGTGTGTATGAACTTTTGTGTGTGTGCAAGTGTGCATGTGTGCCTGCATGTGTGTGTGTGTGTGTGTGTGTGTGTGTGTGTGTGTGTGTGTGTGTGTGTGTGTGTGTGTGTGTGTGTGTGCAAGCCAGCCCCTGGTGTCTTGGAAGCAGGATGAAACACTGTGCCTCTATCCGGGACTCACAGAACACCCACTATCCTTCTCTCCTACTTCTTCTCTCTCTCTCTCTCTCTCTCTCTCTCTCCCTCTCTCTCTCTCTCTGTCTCCCTCCCACCCTCTCTCTCTCTCTCTCTCTCTCTCTCTCGCTCTCCCTCTCTCTCTCTCTCTCCCACTCTCTCCCTCTCTCTCTCTCTCTGTCTCCCTCCCTCCCCCTCTCTCTCTCCTCTCTCTCTCTCTCTCTGTCTCTCTCTCTCTCTCTCTCTCTCTCTCTCTATCTCCCTCTCTCTCTGTCTCCCTCTCCCTCTCCCTCTCTCTCTCTCTCCCTCTCTCTCCCTCTCTCTGTCTCTCTCTCTCCCTCTCCCTCTCCCTCTCTCTCTCTCTCTCTCTCTCTTCCTTACCACATCCATTTTGAAGTCTATTCATGCAGAGCTGCTCTTTCATCTTGCATTGCGGTGTTTTAACCAGCTCCACTGTTTTTTTTCTAGCCTTTTATCAGATTATAGAGGAAGAGGAGGACGGGTGAAGTGGCCCGCTGTTGTGCATCGGCTCACAGTTAGACGGCCGCAGCATGGAGGTGCAGAGGAGACACCGTTCTATGATATTGTTCTCTTTCAGTTCTGTTTCACTCTTTATATTTAAGAGTTGTAACTAACTTGCTTAAATGAAACCTGCTTTCTTATTTTGTGCAGAAAGCAATGCTGACAGAGAAGGACTGATGTGTGTGGCTTTAATTAGCTTTATTAATGACCTCATAAGCATAATTGGCTATGTTTAATATATCACAGTGATTACAGTAGGGCATTAGGCAGCTTATTTGCCTCTTGTTTGTGCATGGCTTAATTAATGTATCCAGCCATGCAGCTTATTTAGGTTCGGTAGAGGTGTTTAAGAAACAGCACAAAAGCCTGTAAGTGCACAGTGTGTTTACTGATATGTGCTTTTGTTTTTATGGAGCTAATGCAATGATGAATATTGATTGATTCCAACCTTAAGAGGTATAAATACTTACCTATATTTTAAGAAAGGTATCACTTTAACTCCCCTACATTTGAAAGACAAATATCCTACTTTTGACTCCACTCCATTTTTTATGAATGTTCAAGTTACTCACTACCTTTGCTCTGAAGTCGACTGATACATTGCGATCCCAAAGACAATAAAGTGTATGTGCGTGTAGTTCTGCATGTGGTTTGTCTCAGAGGTGTTGATGTACCTGCACGTCCCCATGGTTGAACGTCGAGCAAACGCGTCAGTCAGACCAGACAGATGATTTAGTGGAATAGAGAAGTTGTGACAGAGGCCTTTACTTTGTATATGTTTTCATATGTTGTCTGTTCTCACACACACACACACACACACACACACACACACACACACACACACACACACACACACACACACACACACACACACACACACACACACACACACACACACACACACACACACACACACACACAATAAATAAGTCTCGCCTGTCCTTTTTCATTAGTAATACATACAGAGGGACAAAAAGATGAGACAACAAAATAACACACTACTGGGTCTCACTGCTACCACCCAAACCCCCCACCCCCTTAGCCAATCCAAATCATCCCACTCCCCATGAACTCCTCAAGCAATACCAGTAACTCAAATGGCCACTGTTTTTTTATTTATGTATTCATTTAATGGTTTTATTTCTAAAGTTATATCACATAATTTTCCAGTGGTGCTCCTGTTTCTGTGTATTATATTGGATTCTGAAAGCCAATTTGTGTGTCCTTTTTTTTACACCTCAAACACAAATACCTACACACAGCTTGTCTGTAGTCACCCAGAACCAGAGACTCCTATCACCAGAATGTAAAAGTAGCCTTGCTTGATAACTTTCTCGACGGTAATTACATCTGCCTCTCATTATGTCCTGATGTCACCCCACAGAGACAGTCACATCTCCCTCAGCAGCTCCCTACCTAAACCTGTTTTACAGTTTAATTAGCTCCGAACAAAGGAAGAGATGTATAGCCAATTGTTAAGTGTCGGACTGTAATTTGGCTCTAATTGGAATTCTTGATAAAAGATCTTGAACACTAATTTGGAGCTGTTAGCAGACAACATTCTGTTGGCTTGTGTTACAACAGACGGCAGCATCTAGCTGTATACAAGTGTTTAACCTCTACTGTATCAGGCTTAATGGATGACCTTTGCAGTGCACCTGCCTTTAATAAAGCTCTAATTAGGAGTCCTATTAGGTTCTGAGAGGCTTCCAGTTAATGGGCACTTAAATGGAAAAGATTTAGGTTTTTGGTGGAACAATCGAAGATACTGAGCAGAAATCGTTGGAGCCAAAATGTCAGTCTACAACCGAGAGGATGGAAATGTATTTTGATGCTCTGATGAATGGATGACTGTCTAATCGAGAGGCTTTCTGGAATTTGTTTGGTTGAATGATGTCAAATGTGTTGCAAGATCGATCAATCATTATTTGTATAGTGCCAATTCATATCAAGTGTTATCTGGAGACGCTTTTCAAAAGAGCATATGGGATAATATGCAGGAAGGATTTCTTCTTTGTATTCTTCGCGTTCCTGTTGTCCACACTTCATTGCTGCTGAGATGGAGGTCGGAGCAGGAAGTGCATGAGTGAGGACGGCGGTGGTTGTGTGGAAGACTCAGTCAGATGGTGGAGGCTGTCGGGTGGTAGTAGTGCCAGATCACCTGGCTGAAGGTTGGGGGAGCTCTGTCTATAGCCTGGCTTCTGCTGCCAGGACAAGGCCTCCTAATGAAGATATTGAATGCTCTAAAAATGTTGAATGCACTGGGTGTGCAGAGAGAGTCGTGCAAGGCAATGACATTTAAAAAACAAAATTCAAACGTTAAGCAAAGAGTCTTCCAGTCCTGAAAAAAAGTAATGACGTTGTTTTTGTTTGCAGAGGCGCTGCTTGTCAACAGGCTTGGGGCTCCAGACTCAAAATGTCCAAATTTTGCAAAGACAGTATGAAACCTCCCTAAGGGGGCCCCATCCAACAGCCCTCAGTTGTGGCCCTACTAAGTGTTGCATGAAAACCAATGTTTGTCAATGAAAGTCTCTGAAGAAAAATTAAAAGTTAGCATTGAGATACTAGCAGAAATAATAGTGATGAACGCTGGTTGGAGGGGCCCCCAGTCAATTTATGCCATGGGGCCTCAACAGACTCTAGTAAAGTGTCAAGGTAGATATCTGCTGTGCAAAAGCCCACAAGCAAAATCTTTCACATCAAATGAGAGCTTTTACTCAAAATGTGATGCTGTTACAAAAATTGATGAAAAACAAAATAAATCCTGAATTCCCAGCACAAATTGTTGTCGCTTATAATCCAGCTATGAGTGTGATTCAGATGAGGGTCACCTATATTTCTCCGAGTGCAGCCTGCTGTACTGTAAGTGGCTTTGTGGACTCCCTGCTCCATTCTATTAGACAGAGTAAACGTCATTAAGAGAGGAGCTGAAAGAGCAATTTTCTGTCTCACTCCCTTTGCTTTCTCTGTGTACCGTCTGTCACTCCTTTTCACGAGTGATCGTGTTGCACGCACACACACACACACACACACACACACACACACACACACACACACACACACACACACACACACACACACACACACACACACACACACACACACACACACACACACACACACACACACACACAGACACAGACACAGACACAGACACAGACACACACAGACACACACACACACAGACACACACACACACACACACACACACACAGACACAGACACAAACACACACACACAGACACAGACACAGACACAAACACACACAGACACACACAGACACACACACACACACACATACATACTCAAACACTTTACAGGCAAAAGTAGAGTACATTTGCCAGATGGCTGTAAATACTAGAGGGAATAATACTAACATTATCTTGTCCCTCTCTTCTCTTCTTTTTTCTCTTCCTGTCCTTGCATCCCTCCTTCCTCCTTCCTCTCTCCTTTGTTGTCTTCTCCTCCTCTCTTGCCTTCTTCCTTCATCTTTGTTTCCAGGCTTCCTCAGTACCGGTGATCAGTCGGCCAAGGGGAACTACGGCCTGTTGGACCAGATTCAGGCTCTGCGTTGGCTCAATGAGAACATCGGCCACTTCGGTGGAGACCCAGAGAGGATCACCATCTTCGGCTCGGGAGCTGGGGCTTCGTGCGTCAACCTCCTCATCCTCTCACACCACTCAGAAGGTAGTCATAGACTCCTTTCTGCACTGTTTGTTGCTCTTGGTACAGCATCCATTCTTCTTAAACCCTCCCTTCATACTTTGTGTATTTATTTCATGAAGCTCTTAATGGAACAAATCTTTCAAGCACATGGTTCCCACTGGTCATGGGATTCCAGAAATATCCAGATTTTATTTTTGTGGTGTTAATGGCCCGGATCAAACCCCCTCAATGACTCATTAACCACACATTTCTTGACTAATGAGTTGTGTCTGCTTACATGAATTCCACCTGATCCGATGACATTTCAGTCCCGAGCTTTGATCACTCCTTACGTATCCCAGAATAATAGCTCAGAGCAGAGGCTCAGTCTGTAGAGATTTGAGTTTGGAACCGGAGGGTCGCTGGTTCGAATCCCGGCCTGGTCTGGATATTGGCCTGGTATTGCCCCCCCCCACACACACACACATAAACCTTAGTTATCCAGGTGGTGCCAATGCCTAGTTATAATAATAACTTCATTTATATAGCACCTTTTAAAAACACAGGTTTACAAAGTGCTTTGACAAACAGCAAAAACAAGAACAAACTAAACCAAACACAGAAGAACATAAACAACAGCAAGAACAAACAAACACAAAATACAAAAAATAATTAAATATAATTCAACAGAAAAGAACCCAAAGTGCACGATACCCAACAGACATATAGAACCAGACCATCACAAGAACCATCATAAGAACCCAGGCAACACAAGAACCCAACAACACGAGCTGAGACCAAGAGGTCAAGAGACCATAATCGTCTAGTGGTTATGTTGTGCGCTCCATGTACAGAGGCTGTAGTCCTCATTGCAGGGGTTGTAGGTTTTGAATCTAGCCTCGGCTCACTTTGCTGCATGTCTTCCCCCCACTCTCAGCTCCCAACATGTCCTGTCTGTCTTCAGCTGCTCTGTCCAATAGAGACAAAAAGGCCCAAAAATAAAACTTGAGTTATCCCTGGGCTATTAGATGATCTTTGTTTAATTGCTTTTTTTAAATGTAATCATGGCAGCCATGTCCTATTCTTTCTTCTTGTCCGGTTTTTAGAATCAGCTGGCAGCAATCAACCTGGACATCTTTCAGTCCTGTGATGTTCATTTGACACCTCTATCCTCAAAGGCAAACACTTCTTGTCCTTTTAACTGAGACTTTAAGAAGTCGTGCAGCTATTGAGTCCATGTTGGATCCGAGTAAAAAAAAAGAAACCTTTATAGAGAATAAATGACACTAGAGCTCCAGCATTACCTGACATGGTGTTTGGAGCGCCCCTGGCTGTCTTAACACTCCACCACTCTGCAGCAGAATCTACACCCCCCCACCACCCACTCACCCACCCATCCTCATCCCACTCCTGTGGGAAACCTACATCCATGTGGCCTTACCCTCTCCATTACCAGCAACACACCCCGAGGGCACAGTGTTAACATTGAACCACCGACAGAGAGGGGGGCCTACGGACCAATCGCATTTGATCTGAAGTGAGATCAGTGAGGCTGGCGACCTGCAGCCAAATGGCCACACACTCACTCGCCTTTGATCATGCTGCTCTTGAAGCTGTCCTCTTCCAATCGTAGCTCGTCTGTTCTCGACGATGTTCGAGGACTCTCCCTCACTATCTCCCTCCTCTTTTTCATTTTCTGTCTGGCACACACAAACTGCAAAGGACAGAAACAGAGTTAAAAATGGTAGGGTGAAAAGAAAGACAGAGATTAGAGACAGATCACACCTCTGTTTCAATCAACACTCTTTGTCTGTGTGTGTGTGTGTGTGTGTGTGTGTGTGTGTGTGTGTGTGTGTGTGTGTGTGAGTGTGTGAGTGTGTGAGTGTGTGTGTGTGTGTGTGTGTCTGACAAACCATGCAGATATCTAACATGTCTCTAACTTCGTCTCATTCTGTCTGTGTGTAGATGTGCCTTGAAAACAAATGTACATCTTCCAAGCTTGAGTGAGCATCTGTATGCTGTTGCCATGTAACCTTGTGCATTTAAAACAACCTCTGTAGCTGTCATTGTTGTCAGATAACCCTTCATATCAGCACGGGCATACCCAACCTTTTATTCCTTAGTAGCATTGACCCACTTAGACCAAACATAAACTGTACAACTGTGGAAACGTCTTGGTGTAATGTCATCTCGCATTGTATGAGTCAATCATGTAGAATGCAGAGCTCATGAATGATGTGCTCCCACCGTCAAGCACGACCTCTGCGTGTTAAATCAGGAGCATTGTCAATTATCCATTAAGCTTCCTTTATGACTCCCACAGACAGTAAATGAAGGGGGATCCAGGTGTGTTTCAGTTGTCTGAAATGCACGGCTAACAAACAAACAACGTCAGACTGCAGGCCGCAGCTATGTCCATCTACATCTTCTAGATAAGAGGAGGAAAGACACGTTAAACTATCAGGCCTGCTGTCGCCATCGTGCTTCCAGATATTGTGATAGGTACAATCAAGGGAAAAAAACGCCATGAAGTTGGGGAATCGGCTTGTGGCTCTGCTCTCGCTGTATGCAGTATGCAGCTGTATGACCAATATCGCAAATAGCCAAGAAATTCATCCAGGCTGTGATCTGGCCCGTTTTTACTCTGCAAGGCACGTGCAGACAATCAAGCTTCAAAATCTGTCATGTGACTAAATATTTAAAGCTGTTCTCACATTTCAAGACAGCAAAGCTAGCCATTTCCCCAGCTCTTGATCATTGTGCTAAGCTAAGCTAAGCTAAATGAGGGGTCAGCCCTATGTTCCCACATTTCTAAGGATTTTCTCAAAATTAGGCCCTATGTTCCCACAGGGTAGGGTTACTGATACAAATTTATGAAAAAGGAAATGTGGAAACATAAGGCCTAATTTTGGAAAAAAAATCTTAGAAATGTAGAAACATAGGGCTGTGGGAACACAGGCACGTTCTTGCTAATGACCTACCAGCTCCAGTTCCCTACTTACTGACACAATTTTGGCACATCTGTAGTCCAAAAAGAATAAGTTGATAAGTAACTAATTACTGACTTACCTAGACTTAATTATATATAACTCATTTATCTTTTCTTTAGCTATTCATTATTGATTGTCAATTTTGAGATGGCAACCAGAACTGACAGTCATTGTAGTTTAATCTTGTTTTTTTTTTTTGTGAGTCCCACTTTAGCAGCTGAGGGGACCCTATCAGTCGGGAAAGCCTGTATTAACCTTGTGTTATCTGTTGCTGACAGTCGACCTCTTCACACTTCCATCTGTCCACTCTTCTGTGCATCTGCATTGTCATCTCCCCATCATCATTGTCCTCATCTTCATCAGCATCTAACGGTGTAACATCAGCCCTCTAGACGCCGCCTGTCTGTCATGCTCACCCCCCCCCCTCTTCCCCGCCAGGGATGCTAGGTAAGGAGTCTGTCATCCCCACCCTTAAGGGACACCAATCATGTCAACAACACAGCGTCACAAATCAAGCCTGACAGCAGAGACGTGCAGGATGGATGGCAGGAGGGAAGTGGCAGACAGGGTGGAGGGAGGAGTTGTAAGTGATCTGATATGATGAAGGGGAGGGGGAAATAGAGGGGGGGGGGCAGTATCCATGGTAAAGTTTTATAAGTGTTAAAGAGTAAGGGATGAAAGGTAGTAACACTGTGTGGAAAGGAAAACAGGTAGGAGTCAGAGAGTGCTCAGACGTGGCAATCAGACACCAGGAGTAGCCAAAAAGAGAAAGGTACTGAGCAGGGAAGGCAAGAGGCACTTAGAGAGTGACGAGGAAACTGATTTTGAAGACGAATGAAACACTACCTACCTCCCACCTCTCTTTCTCTCTGTCTTTTACCCTCTCCTTCTTTCACTGCAGACTACTGCATGTAGGTATAACTGTTTCCCTGCTACTTCTTCCTATAATTGATTTCCCAGGGAAGGGGGGGGGGAGGCTCTGCAGCTCTGCTTAATAATTAACTGACCAATCTGCAGCCCAGGAGAGGGAAGAGAAAGAAAAAAGGAGCACAGGAGGAAACGAGTGAGGCAGGCGGCCCCTTAACGAGCCACTTGAGTGGTTCAAATAGCACAGGACAGGCAGAGCTAAGGAGACGGAGAGAGACAAAGTGGAGGAGAGGAAGCAAGAAACACAGCAAGAGAGAGTCGGCAGAGAGAAGAAGCAGCTAGCACAAGACAGAAGAAAATGGCTCTCTGGACGTCTCAGATGAGCTTAGCCCTGCTTTCTTTTTGTTGTGTATTTTTGGAGCTACAAACACATAGCATGCTCCATTTGAGTGTCTGCAGTTCTATCCTGTGTGTGCTTTCTTAATCAGGGAAAATGGTTCAATGAAAGAAGTCAAAATCTGTAATATTTTTTTACTGACAGTGGATAAAAAGAAAGTGATATGTGGCAGCCAGGAATGCAAAACAAGTGACATGACATTTAGCAAAAAGCCATCTTAGCAGGTTTTTTTAGGATGTGAAAAGCATTTGACCTATGACCATGAAATTAAATATCCTTTCTTTTCAATCTTACCTTTTAGGTCTGTTCCACAGAGCTATAGCCCAGAGTGGGACTGCAATCTCCAGCTGGTCTGTTAACTACCAGCCCCTCAAATACACAAAGATCCTTGCCCGAAAGGTGGGCTGCACCTACACAGAGACTGCCGACCTGGTTGACTGCCTGAGACGCAAGAACTTCAGGGAGCTGGTGGACCAGGACATTCAGCCGGCTCGCTACCACATCGCGTTTGGACCTGTGGTGGACGGAGACGTGGTGCCTGACGATCCAGAGATCCTCATGCAACAGGTGATCATCTGGCACTAGTGTGAAGACATGTTCATAGTAGATTCATCCTGTGCAGAGGTCGAGTGAATAGAGATATTCACGCAGCAGATAGAGGAGAACATATATAAATTTTAGCAGAGTGTGAGTGTGACCTTTCTGCATTGTTAGTGACTGGTAACACCCTCACACTTAAAGTGAAAAAGCTGCACTGTAGGTGATGTATATTATTTTTGTGCTATTTTTAAACTAACTTTTCTTTAAAAACAGAAGCATGTACATTGTTGCATGTTTGCAACTTTATTCTCGAAAATGTATGACTTTATTCTCATAAATTTACAACTTTATTCTCGTAAATTTACGACTTTAATCATGGCCCTAATCCTCCATCATGTTAACCTTCAAAGATCCTGTAAATAACTTTCAGTCTGTTGTTTTTGGCGCCCCATGTGGACAAGGCAGTACCACTGATCTCAGTCGATAGTGATTTCTGACAAGAAATCTCATCCTGCTTTCTGTTAACCTTTAAAATGCAGAAAAAGACTGTTTCTTCAGTGAGTTGTAAACAGTCTTCGCTGACACCACCAGGCAGTGGTTATTCAAGATTCAATACAATCTCTGATGGTCTTGTTTGCTTATTTTTCAAGGTCAAAAAGAGGTATCGCTCTTAATTCAGTCTTTTTCAAGCTGCTATGAACTTCTAAATGGGGATCTAAAGAGGCCTAAAGATTGCAGTCACAAGACATATCACATTCAACATGAACATAAATCAGTTATCCCTGACTGTAACAAAACTATCACATCTGTTAACTCACCATCAGAACCTCTAATTGAAGTGAAATAATGTAAATCTCTCCTAAAGTGATGTGATAAGTCAAAGTAAAGGAAAGGTTGAAAAGAAAAAAAGAGATCTAGTTTCATTAGAGCTTCATCTATCTCACATTATGTGTGTCACAGAAGCTGAGAAAACAAGACGCAGGACTTTTACAGCTACTTCTTTTCCAGCCTGTCCCATTGGTTCTGCAAAAAAAAAATCACAATCTGTAAGAAATAATCAGAGATTAGCATCAAAAGGTTTCTGGTTTTTTTTCAAGGGGGAACAATTAAGCCACATCACAAAGCATGAAATGGAGCTTTTGTTGTGCCATAATTAACAGCACAGACTTTAAAAACAACATGCGTGCTAACAGGTTTAGCAGCACTGTTATTGTAGAATTGATCTTTGATTTATGAGCTTATATTGGAGGAAATCTAATGTTTTTGAAGTTAACATATGGCAGGAATCAAGAAAAAAATAGATTTTATACCTGAGCTGGAATTCTACAGCACCTTAAAGAGAGTGTGTCATCATTCTGAAATCCTGCTCTTTTAATGCAAACTAATCACTTAAAATGTGCTTCCACTATTTCTCCACCAGGGGGAGTTCCTCAACTATGACATCCTAATAGGAGTCAACCAAGGAGAGGGGTTGAAGTTTGTGGATGACAGCGAGGACAACGACGGCATCTCAGCTGCAGCATTCGACTACACCATCTCTAACTTTGTGGACAACCTGTATGGCTACCCTGAGGGTGAGAAATGACAACAGCTTACTCCTCCAGGCTTTTAATGTCTTCTTTATTATGTCATCAACCACCTCTCACACCACAGAACTGCGTTGTGTCATTGTCAATGCTTGTTAGAGGAATAATGAAATGAACATCGTCTGGATTTAATTAAAGGAAATGATCTAAATAAGAGAACATAGGGGACTTCTTTTTAAATAATCATCATATAATCATCAACCAAATATGTTCCCTGATACCTGAGCAAGGTGTGACATGATTTTTAAAACGTCTTCAAAACATCTTTTATGCAAAGAATGAGGAAAGGAAAATGTCACTCTGTTGTTGTTGTCTTCACTATGAGGAACTGTCATTCCATTTCCATTTCTAGCTATGTTTTTCATTCTTCATGATTGTTATTCCAGGTCCTTGTGCTATCAAGTTACTATCGTTTTGAGTATTTGTCCTTCCAGATCCTCATAGCAACATGAAGTCCTCCACCTTCTATTCTTTGACATTTTTCAAAATGTTTTATCCCTGTCATGAATTTCTTCTCAGCGTATTAAGTATTTTTTTTCTCTTTGCTACTTTCCTTGTCCCTTCCCCCCCATCCTGCACTTTATCCTCCAGGCAAAGACATCCTGAGGGAGACCATTAAATTCATGTACACAGACTGGGCAGACAGGGACAATGGGGACATGCGAAGGAAGACCCTCTTAGCTCTGTTTACAGACCACCAATGGGTGGCGCCGGCAGTGGCCACCGCCAAGCTCCACGCTGAGTTTCAGTCCCCGGTTTACTTTTACACCTTCTACCACCACTGTCAGACCGAGACACGCCCTGAGTGGGCTGATGCCGCCCATGGAGACGAGATACCGTACGTGTTTGGTGTGCCCATGATCGGTGCCACTGACCTGTTCCCGTGCAACTTCTCAAAGAATGACGTGATGTTGAGCGCTGTGGTCATGACTTACTGGACCAACTTTGCCAAGACTGGGTAGGCCTTGTTCATGGTTTGTTTTTTATTTTGGTAAAGTCAGAGCCCCACAGAGCCTTTTAAAATGTAAACTGTTTCCAGAAAGGAAATATTTATAAAAACATTCAATTTGTGGGTTGGAATGTTTTGCTCTGATTTTCCAATGCAAGGGTAAACAGAAGTTTTTTTCTTGACAAAATAACTTAATTTAGAAATATTTATTCACACCGTTGAATATTGTACGTATTATTGTTGAACAAAACTAGTTTCATCTAAAAAGCCAGTGGACAAGTTCCAGATACATGTTCCAATCAAAGATATAAAACCAATTTCTATGTGTCTATCCATTTATTTACATTTTCATCATATAATCAGTACATAGCCTTTGAATCCATTCAAATGATGTCACATTAATGACGTACAAAATAAAACAAAATGGATAAACTTGAATTACAAAACCACGCACTGACACAGTCAATACACACCTGCTTGCAATTACCTGAAGCCTTGGTGTAGTGCATAGCATGAGCTAAGACTACAACCAGTGTCCAGTGTTGGAATTACACATCATTATTGTCACCTGTTGTCTCATGCGGAGATCAAATAAAAACCTCATTTTGGCTTCAACATACAACGTCAGCCAATCGTAGTATGAACAAATATCTGCTCTTCAATATTGCTCTGCTACTTCAGCTGCAGACAGTGCTTAATTCATTATAAACAGGGATGTGCTTGAATAGTGACCTTATCGATTTTAGTCGGCGCCCTGGCTATTCAGCACCATCCGGTTATTAGTCCTTTAAACTAAAAATGCTCTGCTGCCAGTCTGCTGCCATTAGGCTCTACTACCCAGACGTAAACCAGCGTAGTGAACAGACAGCATCTCATAGGAGCAGGGCAGTCTGGTTTTGATCTGCAAAATGGAAATAAAGTTGGCTGTTCCAGGTTTAACGGGCATATCGACCGAAAGAAGGGTTAGGGGTTAGGGTTAGGCATTCGGACGTTAACCTATTGTTTACCCTTAGACGCTGTGATACTGTGTTTAGCCATTTTAAATAAATTGTGCTCACTTTTGACTGTTATTTGTGTTTTCAAAACTAGTAGTCGACAACCTAACCTTACCTATCCTGAAACAGGGCTGAACTGTCCTTCTAGAGGTCTGAACCACTTAATAAGAGAGATGTATCCATGTTAAGGTGATCTCACAATCCAGATGTTGAGTTATTAAGAATAGCCCTGAATGAACCCTTGATTTAAAACCTGTAACTAAGATGGAACCTTTGTCCTCCATTAGGGATCCAAACCTGCCAGTCCCTCAGGACACCAAGTTCATTCACACAAAGCCCAACCACTTTGAAGAGGTCATCTGGACCAAGTTCAACTCCAAGGACAAGCAGTACCTCCACATCGGCTTAAAACCTCGTGTTAGAGACAACTACAGGGCCAACAAGGTGGCCTTCTGGCTGGAATTAGTTCCCCACCTCCATAGTCTACATGAGGAGCTCTTCCCCACCACTACCCGCTCCCCGTCAGGCCCAGGCCCAGGAACCCACAGACCCTGGCTCAGAACACCTGGTCCTCGCACAACCCGTCACCCTTACCCCACCTTCCCCTCCGATCCGGAGCCCGAGGGTTCGGAGCGTCCGCACCAGGACCTCTTCCCAGGAGACACCCGGGACTACTCCACTGAGCTGAGTGTGACGGTCGCTGTTGGGGCATCGCTCCTCTTCCTCAACATTTTGGCCTTTGCCGCACTTTACTACAAGCGTGACAAGCGACATGAGATGCGACGTCACAGGCTGTCTCCCACACGAGGCGGCCCTGCCAATGACCTGGCGCACAGTCAGGAGGAGGAGATCATGTCCCTGCAGATGAAGCACTCGGAGCACGACGCCCACCACGACATGGAGCCGCTCCGGCCCCAAGACATCCTTCGGCCCGCCTGCCCGCCTGACTACACCCTGGCTTTGCGCCGTGCCCCGGATGATGTACCACTGATGACACCTAACACCATCACCATGATCCCCAGCACCATCACCAGCATGCAACCCCTCCATGCCTTCAACACATTCCCTTCCACCGGCCACAACAACACCCTGCCCCACCCCCACTCGACCACCAGGGTATAGTAGGGACTGGTCCAACACAGTGCCACCTAAGGACCAGGAGAACTGGCTCTGATCTAGAAGTGAGGCCTCTGGAGGCCTTTTTTTTCTGTACTCTTCTTTTGTTTCTCCAAAAAGAACTCCACTTCCTTCATCATGTGCTGTCAAACTTAGCAGCTCCACCGGTGGTGTGTGGAGAAGTGAACTGGACTGCACGACAGCACATGATCCGTTTGGGGCTGATTTAGATCTTTCAAAGATACTTTTTTCAAAGGTCTGCGGCTTCCAGACTAAAGCCCTCTAACATTTGTCAAAGGGATGGATGCTATTCGCCTCTTGCTGTTTTCCCTTTTTTACTTTGCCGTCTCTCTCTTTTTCACCCCTTTGTCTGTTATGTGCATATATCCTTCTCTTTTCTACATCTGTGTCTTATCTCGGCTTTGTTGCTCTCATCTGACATGTGACTCTCTCCCTTTGCTCTGAGGAATTATAAACTACCGAGCTGTAGAAGGCCTTCTGGGTACATAGGGTGCATACAGTTATCATATACCTATGAAAACACTGACCAGCATTCTTGGTGCCAAGTATGTACTACTGTGTTTGCTTTCTCATTGACGGAGAAAACAACCTAGAGAAGATTCTACAGTGTCCCTATTTACTCTCAATTTACAGATGCTGTGTGTTCTCATGACAAAGTGCCAAACTGGCCCTCGATTGTGTTTTCAGTTTTTCATCTTCTGTTTATCTTTTCAGGCATTGTTTAATTGTTGTTTTCTTGTGGAAAGATTTTTTTGCTGAAAATATA